ATGAAGAAAAATGAAATAATAGTTTAAAAAGATCAAACCATAATCAGAAGCACCTTTGGATGAATGTGGACTGAGAAACAAGATCAGAAACAAGAGTAGAGAAAGTATTCGGATTGTCTGGAAAGTTAGTTGGACAGAGGTGAAAGTTGTAGGTCTTAACTTTTTTGTTATTTTTGACAGAGGTGAAAGGTGAAAGATTTAGGCCTTAACTCCTACAGAGTTACTGACACTAAAACCAAGCAATTCAGTATGATGAGCACTAAAGTCACCAACAACAATATAGGATGAAGGTTGAAGAGAAAAGACTTGGTCAATTTTCATCAGAAACAACATCGAAAAGAGTACAGTCTTGTGATAAAGAAGAGCGGTATAGAACAAAAAGAAATGTAATAAAGTAAAGTGATGCTAAACGAAAGCACAAAAATGTGTAGTCTGTGGGTTCAAACCTGGTTTCCTGACAAATGGATGAGTTCTTACGAATGAAAATTTCCAAGTCAAGCTTGTGACTATGAACTATTTACGAATTAAAAGAAGATAACCATTAACACTAAGATTAAAAGATATGACAGTTGAACTCAAATTAGTCCCACAAAGAGCAAGTAGGTCTGACGAACTTTGCAAGAGATAAGACTCTACAGAAAAAAAAGTTACTTCGAAGACCACGAATATTATTGAATGATGGATTTAGAGAACTTGGTGATTATGATGGTTTTTTGTGTTTTATAGTTTTTGGTACTTTAGTCATTTTAAATTTTTTAAAGAACTTGAATCAAAGCATAGATAGTACTCAGTACACTATTTGATAATCCGAGCAATTACCTCATTACTATTTATAAACCCTAAGCCGTAACAAAGGGCTCCAAATGTGGCTTCGACAATGCACACCAAAAGTACGAACATGGACACCATTCACGCGTAACATGAAACTGCTTGTACTCTGATATTTTATAGCTGGTAATAGAATTTGCCTCGCTGAGAGCTACCACAGAGTTCGGGAAACCTGACAACCAACCGGTCTCAGAACCATAAAACTGAGTTCTAAATTCACTGAATTAGAATTAATTAAATTTAAAAAAAATAAATAAAAATCTTTGAAACTAATTTTGAAAACACTCTTTTATTGCTTTTATTCCAGCAAAAAATTTTATTATTATTATGTCATCTTACGGCAGAATTGTATTCAATTTATTTTCAGCAAGTATGTCCGATAGATTAATTTTTTTAAATTAATTTTAGTTTATTTAAAGGTCGTTTACTTTTTGAGGTATTAACATTGCTTTAAAAGATTTGAATTAGAATGCATATATTTTGAAAAGATAAATTTTGCACACACTCCACCCCCTTTAAGATCTCTTCGGAACTGCCCTGTTTGATTTTTACCGTTTTTAACCTTATTTTCAGTGAAAAGCTCAACTCTAATTAAATCACAGTGTAAGTTACAGTAGGGCATTTCCGTTTCTCTACGTGATTTTTTATTTTTCTTTGCTTTAAAAATTAGAAGCCTGGGACTTACAGCAATATACATACTATTATGATTTTCTTATACAAAAACTACAACAAAAATATTTTTTTTATATTTAAGGCTACCTTAATTTTAAATATAAATATTTTTGTCATTTTTTTGTGTGTGTGTGTGTGTGTGTTAATGTCGCAGTAGTTTGAAAAATATGCGATAATTTTCTAAATACTATTCTCAAGCTAAAATATTTGATATTCTACTTTTTTTTATCGAAAACATATTAAATTTAAATTATAGAGATATAACGGTTTACTTGAAATACTCACAAGCAAATTGACAAATTTGCAACTTCAGTGCGTGACTTCCGTGCGTGACCAGACATTGACATGAACAACTTCAGTGCGTGACTTCCGTGCGTGACCAGACATGAACTGCATTTAAAAGATTGATGTTACTCTATGATACATCGTACAATCCTGCAACCTTATGGAAGTTTTTACTAATATGATACATCGTACAATCCTGCAACCTTAAGGAAGTTTTTACTAATATGTAAAATATAATTAAAAAAAAAAATTTACTGCTGTTACTTACATTTTCTGAAAAATTAAAGTTTATTTATCAAGTAACTAAGGTTTACGTTTTTTTGCTCCGTGTGTGATTCCGCTTCAAACTTAATTTATTCTTTGATAACCTTACTTAGTCTAACATTCTTTGTTTTGCAAAATATTTAAATTGATTAGAATCAAATGATAATAAATTGGAGCTCGCCAGTTTATTATGAAAGCATTAGATAAAACATATAAGAGGTTTCGTGCATGACTTTTTGGAAATGCCCGGTATGGTAAATGAATGTTTTTCTTGCATTTACCGTTATAACCTTTTTACAGTAAAACCTCAACCCTAACAGTGATGAATTACCGATTAGACAAAATAAACAGTTGGTGCAGCCCCGCGTAAAACAGAGGTCCGCAATTTGAACGTAAAAAAAAAAAAGCGATTAACGCGATTTTTTGTTAACGTTTTTATTTATTTCAATGCTTAAACAAAAACAAAAAATAAATGATTTTTTTTAATGTAATATAAAGTACTACATGACCAGACCCGTAGATATATATATATATATATATATATATATATATATATATATATATATATATATATATATATATATATATATATATATATATATATATATATATATATATATGTCTTAGCTGTCCGGACTCCTAAAACACGGGTCTTTACTAAACTGACCTCTATACTTATTCTTTATTAACTTCAATATTTTTTAGTAAAATAATTGATTCTAAAAAATTGCTTTAAGAGCAAAAAAAAAATTAACATGCACATCTTTTCAAACATATATAGAGCTTTTGAGAGATTTATAAAACAGTTTGTTTTTCTCCTAAACGTATATCTTCGATAGTTCAGAGTTTTCTTCTTTTTTTTTTTGCCTCTCCCTTTCGTTTTTTATAGTATATAATATCTTTACATATGTTATGTATATAATATCTATAGAACTTCAGTCAGGGTTTTATTTTGCATTTTAATTTTTTTTTTAATTAATTTTTAGATATTGTCACACATTTTGTCATTTAATTTTTTACTTTTATTTAATTTTAGTAGTTAGAAGTAAACATCATTCTTTTTATTAAATATCTAGTAAAAAAAAGCATAATTTAGATAAATATAAATATATTGCATAAAATAAAATAAAAAAGCATAATTTAGATAAATAAAAATATAAAAACCTTGTTTTTAACCAAGAGCCATCACAAAATAAAAGTCAACTATTTCTTAAAAAACTTTGAAAAATATTTTTTAGAATTAGTTTTTACTATTCAGCTTTCAGAGTTGATTTGGGCGCTTAATTTAAACAAAAACCCATAATTTTTCATTTTTTTTATTGTCATATGCCTAAACGAGGCCCTTAGTATTTTTGCTTTAGGACCGAAATGCCGTGAATTCGCCACAGAATATTTTTATAGCTTACTAAAAATGCTAACTAACAGTTTTTTCTAATGAATGTGGTTCGACCTCAAGTCCTTCTTATTAATTTTAATATTCAAAATTTATTACATTTAGCGCCGGTTATAGCAATTCTTGGCCTCCCCGTATTTAAAAACCTTCTTGTTCCTGTTCGCTTCCCTGAATTATAAATTATTATGTTATTTTTAGAAGCAGTTTATATAAAATAAATCTTTTAATCGCCAAAACCCGACGGGTATTTGTTTTTAAAAGTTACGATTTAAATGTATTTTAAATGTCTTTTAAACGTCTTTTAAACATTAATGTTTAAAAGACGTTTAAAAGACATTTAAAACACATTTAGAACGTAACTTTTAAAAACAAATGCCCGTCGGGAAAGATTTAAAGAACTACTCGAATCTGACATTTACAACAAATTTCCAGCAAAGTCATCGCGTTTACAAAAACTTTGCTCTGAGTCCTCATGTTTACTGATTATCTTATGTTATCTTCACTATCTTATGTTATCTTCACTATCTTATGTTATCTTCACTATCTTATGTTATCTTCACTATCTTATGTTATCTTCACTATCTTATGTTATCTTCCCTATCTTATGTTATCTTCACTATCTTATGTTATCTTCACTATCTTATGTTATCTTCACTATCTTATGTTATCTTCACTATCTTATGTTATCTTCACTATCTTATGTTATCTTCACTATCTTATGTTATCTTCACTATCTTATGTTATCTTCACTATCTTATGTTATCTTCACTATCTTATGTTATCTTCACTATCTTATGTTATCTTCACTTATATTGAGTCAGTCACAGACATACTTTTTAGTAGCGCATATGAGTTTTTTGTGTCAATCAGCATTCATAGCATCAAAATAAATCAAAAGTGTGTAAGTAACTTTTGTTAGTTTCTGAATATAAAGTTGGGGTTTATAAAGAATTTCGTAAAAAGCAATGAACCGAGATTATCAGGCTTTTAAGAACTTCAAAGAAAAATTCCCAAGGTTGAGTGAATCTTAAATAATGAAAGGTGTGTTTACTGGTCCACACATACATTAACTTCCGGAAGATTGACGAGAAGATTTTTTCGATAGATAGAAAAGAAAGAAACTAAATACAGATAATAATAACTTTTTTTACAACATCGATTTATTTCAAAAGTCGTGAACTTGGACAAGATCAAATCTCAACACAAGAAATGTTTTCAATGTGTTTATCAATTTTACTTTCAATACATTGCGTGTCCTTTAGAAGTTGTTACATTTTTTATAAAAAAATAAACTTATCTATTCTATTTTAAGTTTGTATATAAAATAATAATTTTTATAAAACAGAATGAAACTCAAAGAATGTATGCAAAACTTTTTCATAGAGCCTATATAAAAGTAAATACTGTAAATAAAGCAATATATATTAATATATATATATATATATATATATATATATATATATATATATATATATATATATATATATATATATATATATATATATATATATATATATATATATATATATATATATATACATATATACATAGTAAATATTATAAATATACAATGTAACAAAAATAGCAGCCATGGCACAGTTGTTAGGTTGCTGACTTTAAAGGTTTCGTGGTGTTATGTCCGTTCCGGATAAAATTGATGTTGGTGAAAAAGGCTACGAAAACTAATTGATTCTCCATACCATCTTTAAAAAAAAAAAAAAATTTCGTAATAAATTACGCAGTCAATTTCCGTTCAAAAGATATAAGAGAATAAAGAAAATAAACAAGTATTTAAGACTTTAAAGATAAGAAAATAAAAAGACTTTTGTTAAGATTCGCAATAAAATAAAGTTAAAATTTTAGTTTAAAATTTTTGTTAATTTTTTTTTTTTTGCTTAACCGAGATAACACAATTTTTTCTAGATACAATTAATGTTGGATAAAATTCATCAATAAAAAATTTCTAAAAGTTTAACTAATAATATTTATTGATAATTTATTTTTAATAAGCAACTCTAAGGTGAAACTGTTGCGGTCAAATTTGTTTTTTGTTAACTGCATTTAAGCTTTTGATAAGTCATTAAATAGTGATAACATGATGCTGTTGGTGTCAAATCCGTGTGCATTTTTGATCTGTTAATTCAATTACGTCTTAAGTTGAATGGTGTTTTTTTGAAAATCAAACCGTTTTTACATATATATAAAATCATGCTTTTGCTGAAATCATTATAGATTACATTATAAATTCCACGTTAATTTTTAAAAACAAAGGAAGTATATTAAAAATTTAAAGTTTAAAAAAAAAAAAAAAACGAAGTATCCGAGTATTTATCATTTTTTTGTCAACTTTTGCTACACCCTTATTTAATAGTTTTATATGTTTTGTTAATAATTTATTTAATAGCAAACAAAAAAATAAATGCGGTTTAGGAAATGATACTTTTATTATAAAAATATTTTTAAAAACTATTTTGAGTCGTTAACTATGTTAAGAACTAAACACAAAGCTTCTACGACAAAAACGTTTGATTACAAATGCAGTTTTGCAAAAAAGTATACTATCAATTCTTGTAAAAAAACAGGAGTTGTTATGTGACGTATTTATGATGTCAATGCATAAGTAATTTAACTTTATTGAAATTAATTATTAGAAAGAAAAATAAAAATTTGACCGGTAAAGAAAGTTAAAACCCTTAAGCTGGACTGCAATTGAACGCCACTCTGAATGGCTCTTTTCTAACAAGGAATGAAAGTCTTTTGAGATGTAGGGGAGAGGTCAAAATACTGTAAGAGCAATTATTTTTGTTGTTCTTCATGTCTATATTAAAGCCTGTTAGAGAAAGAATATCTTTTTTAAAATCATCAGTAATAACATTTTTTACTTTTTAATACACTTGTTACATACATACAGTTCTGAGCTTTTGGTTGTGAGCTTTGAGTCAATTTGTTTGATAAATATAATGAAACCATCAGGTGATAGTATATATATATATATATATATATATATATATATATATATATATATATATATATATATATATATATATATATATATATATATATATATATATATATATTAAGTCTTATATTATATATTGCCGATATATAATATAATATTATTATAAGAATATTATAATATATAATATAAGATAATATAAGATATATAATATAAGATAATATAAGAAAAAATATACCGATATAACATCGGTATATTTTTTCTTAAACCATCGGTATATATCTTATCTGGTAAATTAAAGAAACTTCAATTTTAACGGAATCTTCATTACCATTTAGAGCATGAGCACTTATTCGCTATCCCTTAGAGCATGAGCACTTGTTCACTATCTCTTAGACCATGTGGCAGACGCTACCTCGTTTACACTAAGAAACGTTAAAACAGTTTTTAAAAATTTGGTTAATAAACTAAAGCTTAGTGATGATGCAATACTTAACTTTGTGACGTGTAGACGTTTTATTACAAGAATAAGATAAACAAGAATAAACTATGAAGTAATATATGAAGCTGTGATGTTTAATAACTCTGACGAAGTAGAACTGAATAATAACTAAGAGATATAGGCTTAGGTAAAATGCATTTTTTTTGTAAAACTATATTAGTGTATTCAATATTGGTTGGAACATTTTTAGATTAACAATAAAATATACAACAAATTTTTTTTCTTTAATTTGAAATGAGATAAAGTTGTCTATCTTTATACATACACTGATGTTATCAATATATTTAAAGAATAAAACAAAATGTTGACAGTATATTGAAAGAACAACTGAGTAGAAAATATTTTATTTAAATATAAAGACTAAAAAAACAACCAAGTACAAAACATTTAATTTAAATATAAAAAGTAAAATAAAAACTTTGCATCGAAATCAACTATTAAAATGCTTTTTTTGAGTTAAGGCTTTGATCATGCTATTTATTATATGCATTATTTATTTTTACTAATTGATAACATGTTTCTCCAATAAACGTTACAACTTATTTAAAGTGTGCTTTGTTTTATGAAATTCATATGCATAGAAACTTAAATTGGGCTCACCTCAAAACTATGTTTATGTAGAGAGTAGCCCCTCTGATACTAAGCCCTAGTTTTTGAAATCTAACGTTTAAAGGAAAGCCTTTTACGACTATTTTCACAAAATTGTAAAAAATTCAACTTATAACTTTCGTAAACAACGCTTTTACCTTATGACGTCGTCGCAATACTGGTTTATTGCATTTTATTTGCAGTTAATAATTAATAAATTTATGCAGGTAAACGATAAACAGAATTACAAAGGTTATTTGGTGATAATAAAAATACCACATAATTTACATGAATAACTTAAATGATAACGATTACTTATATTTGGAAAAGTGGATTAAGCGCGACGCTAAGAAGATTAGTCATTAAGCGCGACGCTAAGAAGATTAGTCGTTGATGATTTATTAAAACATTAACTTATTACTCGTTACTCTTGTAAATTCGGTTTTAAACGGTTTGCTGAAAATACATGTATATATATATATATATATATATATATATATATATATATATATATATATATATATATATATATATATATATATATATATATATATATATATATATATATATATATATATATATATTATATATATATATATATATATATATATATATATATATATATATATATATATATATATATATATATATATATATATATACATGTATATATATATGTGTATATATATATATATATATATATACATGTATATATATACATATATGTGTGTATATATATATATACATGTATATATATATATGTGTGTATATATATATATATATATATATATATATATATATATATATATATATATATATATATATATGAATAAAATGAGGGGGTGGGTGAATCCTTAAAAAGTATTGACTAGCTAAAAAAAAAAAAAAGTCCTCCAAACGAAAACATACCCGACTGAACTGTGTCAGGGGTTAAAGCAGGGGGGAACGCAGGGGAACGCCGTCCCTCCTTAACTGAATAATCAAGAAATCAATATTTCTTTGCAACTGTTCCACCTTTTTTTGAGTGTTTTTTTTTCAATGGGATTGTCCATAAATTACGCAATACCTAATTTGTCTCTTTAAAAAAGTAGATCATTTTCACTTAACTGATTTTTATTGTTAAAGAGCTATTTTAATTTTTGCTAAAATTTAAGACTAATATTAAGTAGTATTAGTAATCACGCAAGATCTCAAAATACAGCAAAAGTGCACCTAACAAAACCGACAGCAAAAATTTAAAGGAACGATTCCGCTAATTCCGAATAGGCTAATTTGCATCCCTTTGAACAAAAAAGTTAACTTTTTAACACTGTACCCAGAGACGGTTTTATGGGGAATTTAGTCAGCTAGTCGGGTATTTGACACAATTCATTCGGTTAAATTTTTGTTTTGAAGACTTTTTTTTTTTTTAAGAAGCCAGTCGGTACTTTTAGAAGATTCACCCCTCATTTTATTTGTAGAACTGCTTCTGACCGTTCCACGTGATTTACTTTTCTATTTTAGCTCCTGCAAATACCTGACTATCCCTCCCACCCCATACCCTATCCCATTACCGTAAAATCACCTCTGTGTATATCACTTAATATACAAACGAATATAACAAATTTTCAGCGAGTTATTTTTTTTTTTTTATCTTTGGTAACTTAAATTTGACTTAATCCGACTCTGTTTAACTAAAGTTGTCTAGAAATTTATATGTTTTTTTTATTTTTCAGTATGATTATTCTTAATTAGATGGTAAGCTGTTGCCAATTAAGTTAAAGAATTGAAGTTGAGGAACTGTTTGTTGAACAAGATAAACGCAAATACGAAACTTTAGAAAAGTATTTGCACGGTTATTAAACCTTTTATTCGAAAAAAAACACAACGTTATCAAAAAAGGCGGATTTAGAAAGTGAAAGTTTTTGCCATTGGAAGTGAATTTTAACGTCCTGTTAAATAATAAAAATTTTAATTTTAAATATTTTAATATATATAAAAATGAATTTTTTTACGCTTTGTCATGCACCAGACAATATGTGCGTTAATGACGCAAGTCTAGATGAGATTTTGACAGTTAAATTTGTTAACGGTTAACCGCTATTGTATAATAATGTTCAACACTAAAGTAGTGGATTCTATTTTAAATTGCTAAAAGCAACGAGAGATAACATCGCAATAATGTAAATAATGTAATCGCTAATAAAGTATAACAATAAAAATATACAACAATGAATTAATAAATTTAAATTAAATATAGTCTAGGCTGTTAAGGTAGTTTTGCCAGACCAATTTAAAAAGTGACCTGTCGACATCTCGTCCTTTCGATCTACTTAAGAAGCTCTTTTTAATACACAAATAAAGTTCCTATTTGCGTAATCCTGCGTCAAAAAAGTAAATTGTTACGTATTTGAAACCAGATCAAAATTGTTTCCTCGCAGCTGGGTTATTTTTAATAAAATAATTCAATATTTGTTCAGTTAAACTCTTTTATTCAATTTGATCAAAAGGAAATTCTGATAGCGTATTGTAGAAAATGAAGCTTATGTGTGTTTATTAATTCATGTACAAGTTTATTTACGACAACAAAAAACACACAAGGGAATTGTGATATTTTAGCAATTAATGACTTTTGGTCACTTATTAATTCATATTTGCTTTTTGTTTCTGTGATTTTATCATTTCATGTTTTAGACATATATTAGAAAAGAAAACATTAGATACAAAAAAAGCGACGAGCAATATGGGTTTACCATTGTTTGTTGGAGACGATGATGAAAATAAGCAGAGAAAACTTACTCAAGATTCTGGAATAGAGGATGATGAACGTAAAACTAATGATGATATGGACCACTTGAACGATTCTTTAAAATGCAGTTGTTTCTCCTCGTCTGAAGATATAGCTTCTTATTCACCGACAACAGCTAGACGATCAGTTAAAAAACAACGCCGCATGACACCCGTACCTTTATCTAACACCTCTAAAGGTATTATTCAAACTGTTAGGAAATATTAAACTAAAGTTATTTTGAATGAATTAAAAAAAAAAAAAAGATTACTAAAAATGTAATAGATAAGTTTAAAAAAATATTGTTTTAATAAAAAAGTTGATAATATAAATTTTTTAGTTAAGTCAGAAACATTTTTTATTTTTAAACTTTATATCAACAATAAAGTATTAACGTTAAAAACATTGTGTGAATTTATAATTTATATTTTATAGAGATTCCTATTAAGCCTAAAAATAAATTTTTGTTCGTCGAAGAAGAGGACGCAGATGATATCGACCACTACAACTCTGATGATGACTATATTGAAAATATATTTAAGCTGGAAAGAGTAAGTTTGCTTTTTTGTGGTTTCTCTTTACTTTAGAGATAAAATGCGCGAAGCACATCGACGGAGTACTCGCACAGCACTCTTATGATTTTCAGGTTTTCTTAAGGTTGAAATTCTTCTTGTTTCTAAGCCTTGTTTATTGGTTAATGTTTTTGAGTAATCAGGTTGAGAGAGAGGGAAAAATCTTTTTTAAACTATAAATCATTCTTATTTATATAAAAATAATGTGTATTTTATATTTGAATAAGTTATGATAATATACTAAGTATAGTTATAACTTACTAAACATAAAAAAATAATTAAATTATTAAATACAAACAATAACTAGTTAAACGAACATAATAAATACAACTAAAGATTATTTAGAAATTTTCCTTACTTAAAAATATATTTGTTTTTATTTATATTCAGTGTTTGATGTGGGAAAAAAATGGATAGTTTTCAATGATTTGAAAAAACTATACCGTATGTATCTATGTATGTTCGTATAAATTTATATTTTATATATTGATGTCACTATTCTCAGTAAAAACAAGCCGTTTTAAAAACTATTGAGAAAAGCTCTCGCTGCCCCCTACTATGGCGCCAATACTCAGAAAAATAAACCCGTTTTATACATTTATAAACCTGAAAAACTAAAAAAAAAAAAAATATTTTTCTAATAATAAGTTTTCAATTTGTTCTATAAATAACTTACCAACGAAAAATAATCAAATTATTCAGTTGGTGTTTAATTAAGATTATTATTATTATATACTTTTTTTTTAACGCTTACAAAAAATATGATTATAAATAGAAATTAATATTTGCTTTTAACATTAATTTTTAACTGAAATACAACTGCACACTTTACATCTCTATAAATAGAGAAAAATTATTATTATTTATTTATTAGTCAGAGCCAACGACACGAAGGGTAGAGGAGGGGGGTGAGGGCACGTATAAAAAATAATATAAAAATAATATATAAAAAATTATTTTTTATAGGCCGGTCCTATAAAAAATAAAAAGTATAAAAATATAGAAAAAAAAAGTGCCGGGGGGTGGGCACTTATTTTATTTCTTCTTATTTTCTCTTTTTTTTTTTATTTTTAAGAAAATTCACGATATAGAGGACTTTTTTTAGAATATATAAGATTGTACCTCTCCATTTTGAAACCCGTGTCGTCGGCCATGTTAGTTTTAGATAAAATAAACTAACTTGAGAACTTAGAAGTAAGGAACGCTTTAAGGGTGATGAACTTTAGAATTGTGAAGATTTCTAGTAATAAAAAAAAAGTACTACATTTCAACTTTGACGAAGAATTAAAAAATTGTTCCAATTTATATCTTTTCTATATTTTGATATTTTTTTAGTCTATAGTGTCTACTAACCTGTAAAGCGTGGCTGCGATCATCTGCGATCTTGAGCGCTAAATAATTTTGAAAAACTGATATTTTTTAAGCGATTTCTTTTTTTATTCTTTAGTAAAATTTAAAAAAAATGTTTTAAGGCATGAAAAATTAATGAAAATTTGTTTTCGTGTTATTCTTGAAAGAAAAAAAGCTATTTTTTTATTTCAATTTCAAGTGTTTATTGCTTTAAAAAACATAATTAGTTTAGGAAAAAATAATTTCAAAGTGCATTTTTGATGTCCCACTGATCGACCAAAAACCACATGTATTTCAAGATGTTGTTAAAAAGTTACTTTTTAATTTGTAAGTATATTTTTGTGAATTAGGGTAATGGAGAAAATCAATTTAAAACAAATTGTGCAGTGATTTCAGGTTTCAGAAAATACTTTTAGTAATGTAGGTAGTAGTGGGTTTAAAAACATTATTACTAGGGTTCAAATCAGAGAAGACAAAGTAAATTTATTAAGAAAAAGTTTAATACAAACTCTTGCAAAGTATGTTGCACTATGGCATGCATCATATTGAAAATAAGAAATGTTTTATAATAGAAATCAGGTTTGCTATCAGATTTTAAAACTAATGATTTAGCTGAACCACCAGCTAATCAAGAGGGTTTAATAAATAAATCAGCAAAAAGAGGTCTACCAACAAAAGAGTTTGATGTAGAGTTCTCACACCAAAAGATAATTGATAACAAATATATCTTTTGATTCAAAAACAAAGTTTATCAAAAAAAAATATTGTTAGTGGCTCAAAAAATAGAATTTAATAAGCGCAAATTTAATTTAAATTATTTACTATTAAGTAATTTAGTCAAATTACTTAGTAGTAATTTATTTAAATTACTATGAAATAGTAACAAAAATTTTTTTTCGAAATTATTACCCTCATGTTTTGGGGGGTATTTTTGATTCCGTCCTTCAATTACCGCAAAAACATGATATTTTGACTTAGGCATTAATATAAGGTCTGAAGCATTTTGGAAATTGTCGATTGTTTAGACAATACCCAAAAGCAAGGAAGGGGGGGAGGCAAATCAAAACACAAAAACAAAAAAATATATTCTTAAGTCTTTAATTTACTCAATTAAGGCTTAATATCCAACGATTTTATTTTTGACCACCTATTTCAATGAAATGTTTCCACTGTGGGGAATTATTAAACGTTTCCCAGTGACACTAATGAATTCACTTGTTTGTTTATAGTTGTTTGGTATTGTGGTTTATCCTCCTCCGGCTAATTGCCATATAGAGGCCACATTACCAAGGCCCGCAAAGACAAGTTCGGCTCCCCAAGGAGCGTCATAACCCGCTCTACGGACCAAGAGTAAAGTGAGTTTAGGAAAAACGAAGATATGTTAGAGTGAAAGACAGAAGTAGTCGTGTTAGAAAGACAGGATAGAGAAAACGGACAGGATTGCACTCGATGTTAGGAGGTGCAATAGGTTTGTTTATAGTTGTTTGGTATTGTGGTTTATCCTCCTCCGGCTAGTTGCCATATAGAGGCCACATTGCCAAGGTACCGCAAAGACAGGTTCGGCTCCCCAAGGAGCGTCATAACCCGCTCTACGGACCAAGAGTAAAGTGAGTTTAAGAAGAACGAAGATATGTTAGAGTGAAAGACAGAAGTAGTCGTGTTAGAAAGACAGCATAGAGAAAGCGGACAGGATCGCACTCGATGTTAGGAGGTGCAATAGGTTTGTTTATAGTTGTTTTATTTCCATATGACTGCAAATCTATTATTTACAAATATCAACCATTTTTTTATATAAAATTCTAAACCACAAAATATTATATTATTAACTTTAAAATTACGTTGGCGTAATCTTCCAATATCTTTAAAAAGACCGCATCATTACAAATATATTAATGTTTATATTAAGATACAACCGCTAATTTTTGCTACTTATCTTGGAAGACGTAATCCACAACACCACTGTGCGCTGGGTAAGCAATGTAACAAAGTAATAAAACAAAGACGATTTGGATTTTGTTTAAAAAACTCTCTGATAAATCACTAGTCTTTTTATCTTATGATCAGTTCTAGCTTATTTTTGGTATTGTATTGTAGATGTATTTGCTTATTGTTTTCTCAATTTAAGGAAAAGGGGAGGCATTCAGATATCTTTATGAGTTTTAGCAACCAGATAAAGTTTTTTTTTACTAAAAACAATTTTTTCTATCTACCAAAAAGCTCTCAAACAAAACTCAAACAAAATCATATCAAGCGTTTAAAACATTATAAAGCTGGGGGAAAAAAACAACTAAAGAATAGGAATTGTGCATTTCTGGATGTGTTTAAGTGTGTTTTTCAACAATATTAGCAAGTGATTCATACAAAAAAGTTAATAAAGTGGATATTTTTTTCCATTCTAATACAAGAAAGTAGTTGTTTAACTTGGGTTTAAAATCGTTATCTAATCCGATGCAACTAAGTACATCAAAAAATAATACCGGTAACAGCAAAAAATAATAATTCATTATAGGGTGCGAAATGTGACTTTTTTTTTTTATTTTATTTGCATTCACTCCCAACAAGGCTGCAAGCAACCACTATTAAGTTGGGAGTTACTAGGAAAAAAAAAGAACAGAGTTATAGAGCAAGAAAACGGTTGACAGAAGACTTAAAAAGTTGAAGGTTGTATGAGTCAGGAAAACATGAAGATGGGAGAGAGTTCCAAAGGATTGAAGTGCGGGGAAAAAAACTAGATGAATAAAAGTTTTTAGAGCATGCAGGGACAGATACAGAAAACGAATGAGACTTAGCTGAATGACGAGTAAAACGAGAATGAATTTTAGTTGATGGAACTAGAGATGATAACTCCTTTGAGCAGTGACCATGATAGTATCTGTAGAAAAGAGAAAGAGATGCAACTTTACGACGATGGGAAAGAGGTTCAAGCTTAGCAGATAGTCCAGATCCAACAACATTTACAATGCGTTTTTGGACCTTGTCAAGAAGAGAGAGTGAATCGTTAGAAGAACCAGCCCAAATATGACAACAGTATTCCATACAGGGACGAATAAGAGATTTGTAGAGGTAGAGAATGGAATCAGAAGTAAGGAAATGGCGAGCACGATAAAGAGAAGCAACCTTAGCAGAAGCTAATTTAGCAATCGATTGTATATATGGTTTCCATGAAAGGTCAGTAGTAAGCGATAATCCAAGAAGACGTAAAGAGGACGACTCAGTAAGAGGATTGCCATTCATTAATATAGGAATGTTGACCATATTACGGTAGTTGTTTGCAGTAAGCAATTGGGTTTTTTTAGAGTTGAAATTCACAAGCCACTGTAAACCCCAATCTATTACTGAAGTGAGATCAGATTCAAGATCAGCTGCTTGTTCTAGGCGATCGAAAAGAGAAGACTTTTTGTCAAGACAGAAGTATAAAGTTGAGTCATCAGCAAAAAGAGCTACTTTAGATGAAAGGTTGTCAGGAAGATCGTTTATGTAGATAAGAAACAAAACAGGGCCCAGGATGGAACCTTGGGGAACCCCAGAAGTTACTGGAAATAAAGAAGAGTGTTGGCCTTCAAGGATGACTTTAATAAACCGGTCAGAAAGAAATGATTTGATAATCTCAAAAACTTTCCCAGAAACAC